TTAAGTCTTTGTAAATGCAAACGCAAGAAAATTGGCTTTTGATTAATTGCAAAATTATAAACAGAATGTAGATATCGCAGAGGGTGATTGCTAAGGTTGAATATCAATTGAATTATTGTTAAAGTTGAATATTGACGAATCAAGGGAATAAAAGAGCACGTTAAAATCACTTTTATTTGCTCTTTACGAACCTATAATATCAAGTCTTGTTAGTAACGTCGCTTGTGATCATCACTGCGAATACTTTGTATGCAGTTCCCAAACATTTAAAGCGCACGTGTTAATCGATTGGTCGGTCTCCCCAACATTTTCCTAGGCTGTTGAACGTCCCTGATTCTCTCGCTCCCTCCTGGTAGATCACAGACGCGCGTACGTGCGTGTGTGCCCGTACTCCCGTACCCGCCACGCTGTATTGAACGAAGAGGCTATTAAATTTGTTTTTGTTCGAGCGTCATAATCGCGTCTCGAGGACAGCGCGTGTGCGGAGAAACTTCTTTGTGCCAATCTGTGACGAAAAAAAAAGAAAGAGAGAGAGAGAGGGGCCTCTCTCAAGTTCTCGCGGACATATAATGAAAAAATTGCTTTGCAAACGATTGACATATGCGTCTGGATATGCTATGTTTGTTTCGTTCGCGCAAGAATCCGATTTTGTTTATCCTCGTGTGTCTCATCGCGCGCACATTTATTTATCGCTTAAACGCAGAGGTAAAATAAATCGCCAACCTGTTACCTGTGGAACGAACCGATGATAAATCTTTGTCAAAAAAACACCTGATTTACAGTGCTCTTGAAAAGTTGACGAAATAGACGTGATTTTCTATCGACGAGTGCGACAACGTTAATCCATTAGACACGCGATATCCGAAAGTTTCGATTAAATATACTCGGGATATCGATTCCCTCGAGCACTCTATTAATAATTATCAAGTGCAGATAAGATTTTCTTGTGAACGTAAGCGGCGAATAATCTGCTGAACTTGAAGAACTAGGATGAGGTATATATTTGTCTGAAGAATATATAAATATTCGAATTTTTTATTAGGAGAGATTCATTATCTTATTAGAAATTCGAAAAACGCATGAAAAATCCATATCTTTTCGAATCGGTCGATTATTTTATGTTCAACAATGCCGTTGTTCTCATAATCATATCTAAAATAGTTAGTTCACAATTATACTTTTCATCCAAAGTTTTTAAATGATTTTTTTGTAATAAAAGGTTTTAAAGAATTTGGAACCAGAGGGGACTTATCCCCTATGGTTTAATTAATCGAAAGAGCGTATTAAATAGATTACTCTCGTATCTCTTAGAATGCAAGTATATTGGATTAAATTTAAAAAAGATGGCACAGAGAAAGTATAATGACTAAGCATAAGAAAACTGCTTTCAAGCGACTAAGAGTGTTAGTACACTAAGCTCAAGTGAGTGGAAGCGAGTCTGCGAGTAAGATCTCTCGACTTAAAATCCGACTTACTTTCCAATCTCATTCAACGTTGTTATGTACAGGTAGAAGCAAAAAAATAAATTTGGACGATAAACAATATATAGATAATATTACAGTAAAAGTTACGTATATTAAATAATTTTTTTAATAATGTTAAAAAATATTTAATATATCACATTTGTCATAAATACTAATTAAACTTATTTCAATTAGTTTAATCTATGAAATTATTACGAAATGCAATATGACTTATTATGTGCATGTATATAGGCAATATAAGTACACATGAAAAGAGACAGCAGGGTATTTTCTTATCTATGATTTTATTATCGATGATTTGTACGTATAAGTGTCGATCGATATGTCGTGTAATCGCACATTCACGTGAAAGTTTATGCAAACGAAAAATCAAGTAACGTCAGATAAGGATCCGCGACGCGTTTCTGCATTTGCGCAAAGCCAGTATTACGGTGTGTCTACGGGCACGCGCAAAACTCACCGTACGCACGTGGTAATCCCATATCGCAAAGACACTCTCTTACACGCATTTGCTCGTCTCTCTGTGGTAACATTTATTATAGTTACCATGCAACTGTTGCTGCACTCTCGGGAACCTGTTGGCGCAACCAGTAATTTTCGTCGCGATTTGAGAAACGTGCGTATATACGTGACAAAAAATTCATTCGTATCGGATTCAAATTTACGATGTTGCATTTTGCATTTTGAATTTAAGACACATTTTATTCCTTTCAAAGAATAGATTCCAAGGAATAACATGAATCGTGTGAGAGAAAGTCGTATAAAACCTCTACCTATTCAACGTGCTCGTATGACTTATGTTATTGATCCAAATATTTCAATTGGAGGGGACCCTTCTAGACAGGTCTCTCTGCATAGAATGTCCTTTGGAACTGTAGTATTTTTTTTCTCAGCCATATATTTTTTTCATGATCTGAATTTTTCTAAAAATTGTACATGTTACTTTATAATGTAATCGCAACATTTTTTTTTTCCATATATTTCTAGACCATGCAACTGTTGCTGCACTCTCGGGAACCTGTTGGCGCAACCAGTAATTTTCGTCGCGATTTGAGAAACGTGCGTATATACGTGACAAAAAATTCATTCGTATCGGATTCAAATTTACGATGTTGCATTTTGCATTTTGAATTTAAGACACATTTTATTCCTTTCAAAGAATAGATTCCAAGGAATAACATGAATCGTGTGAGAGAAAGTCGTATAAAACCTCTACCTATTCAACGTGCTCGTATGACTTATGTTATTGATCCAAATATTTCAATTGGAGGGGACCCTTCTAGACAGGTCTCTCTGCATAGAATGTCCTTTGGAACTGTAGTATTTTTTTTCTCAGCCATATATTTTTTTCACGATCTGAATTTTTCTAAAAATTGTACATGTTACTTTATAATGTAATCGCAACATTTTTTTTTTTCCATATATTTCTAGCAAATAATAGAATAAATTCGAAATTTTCTCCAAAGAGAGGGAATTATTTCTCTCCCTCAATTCATTCGCTAGCGTTAAAATAAAATATATTTGCGCGTGATTAAAAGGGATAGATATAAATTTACAAAATTCTTGTAAAATCGAGGGAATTTTCAGGTTGCCAAACGATCTCTCACGATTTTTTTTTCGCCCCGAATACGAGTGCTTACTCGCGCGTATCTAATTCTTTCGCTTCCTCGTGTTGGCGACGAGCCTTCTCGCGCAAAGTACGAGTATCCTGTGGCGTGGTGTAACGTCCGAGACCATCGGAAATCGTGCATCGGTGGAAGAGCTCCGCTTCCCGCCGGGTTCTCGCACGGCCGTCCGTGTTTGCGGCAGCCGCGCGGGGGTAAGGCACGTATTATGAACGCGCGCGACACGACACGACGCGGCGCGGTGTGTGAATAGCGAGCACGTGCATTTCCCACAGAAAAGCAATGGGGGCTACGAGCCGCCAGCGTGGCCAGCTGGGAATACGGCATGCCCGGGGTTCGGCACCGTTCGCCTCGCTCCTTCGGGGTACGTACGCGTTACAGGGATGGTCGTCTTTAAAAGAAACGTATCGATGATTTTATTCATTTGAATATTGCCGGCGCGATATCGCGATGCTACGATGAATAGCGTTAGAAAAAAAAAAAAGTATCGATAAGTTAGATAAACGAATGTGTGACTACGCTTATGGGAACATTTGATTATTTTTGATATTATTGAGATTATGTAAATGAAGAAAGTTTATTATTTTTTTTATTTAGAATTGATTATATATAAACACAGCGTACTTTTTTGAAAACATTTTTTCAAATCACAATTTATAGGAATGCTTTTTTTCAAAACTAAAATCTCTTTTTCTGTCTCTTTTTTTAGAATTTAGTATTAAACTATTGATGATTATTTTTAATACGAGTAATATCGATATATAATATATATATGGAATAACAAATTTCTTTTTCTTCTTTTTTGTATTTTTTTTTTTATCTGACAAACTATAAGTGTGTGTATATGTATATATACTTTTAATAAAATACTATTAATAAAATATACTATTAATAAAATTATTAATAAAATATACTATACTAATAATAAAATAAAATCTTCAATTCTTATTGTATGTAACCGTTCTAAACCTAAATTTATTTACACGAAGCGAGATATCGAGCAAGAAATATGACCTTCTCGAATTATTTATGTATCGTGAATGATTCTAGCATGTGTTATTAATACGTTGTTGGTTATGAAATAAAGATCGCATGCAATACGCCAAATACAGACTATATATATCGATTGACGGAAATCTATTCGTTCCTAGCAGGAATTGATCGCACGAATATGATCTTGACTTGGCAAATGGTAACCACTTTTCTGTTGCAAATGCAAAAGTTCACACTGCCATTTAAGCTCTTGACAGTCTTGATTGACGATGTATTATTATTCATTGCGCATTATGTCGTTGTAAATCTGATCCTCTTAAATATTGATGTTGTAATAACTATTAATCTCTACATATTATATTGCTTAATATTAAAGATGGAATAATAAACAGTTTTTTTTTTTATTACTAGTTAATTAAATGCACTAAAATATACGAACATTTAATTTAATATATAAAATACATTTAATATATATAATATATAATATATATATTTA